CAAGAGCTTCGGCTGTATGAAGAAAGTGTAAGCGAAATCCTTTTGACCGCGACTCTAAATTAAAACAAATGAATGTTTTAGAAATTTACTAAATTTGCAGGTGTTCAGTTCACTTTGTCACGAATCCGTATCGCCTGGAAAATCAGAGTAAAGGTTAACAAGTGTGGCACAGCTTGGTTTAAAGTCAATGCTTAATAATGAGTATACATGACCAACCAATGAAGTCCAATAAGCGACATACGTGATGACTGTTGAACTGCATCACGAACTGGCAGAGGTCGATAATCATAGTTCGGGTCCATTTCCTAAATAATAATTTGTCCTCATTGCATACTGGTAGTATTGAGGTTGATCTCTTGAGGGAATATGAGTGAGTAATGCTATAAACTGCCTGTCAAACTAAAATGAAATAGCCAATCAGTGCATCTTGGTGATTACTTTTTTTCAACTGTTTAAGACTCAGGATAAATAAAGCTTCAATGTATACATATCTGTACCCCGAGTGGTACCTGCCACTTTGATGTGGTGATAGTAATTGCATATAGCATTAACCCAAAGAGCTACAGTGTTCAGGACGACTATTCACGTATGTCTTATCATATGAGAAATTTCGTTTGGATAATGACTGGACTAAAAGCAGCTACCATCACAGTGTAAGGTGACTGCACTATAATGAGCCTCTGATGACAAAGTGGCGTAATGCTACACAGTAGAGATGTAATAGCAGTAAGGTTTTTTTCTCTCGAATGACCAGTAAATCAGCTATGCTGCCTCTCCATTCTGAAGACAGCGACTTGAAAAGGTCGACCGAGAAAACTCTACATCCCCAATTACCCTGCAGTAGTCTGTAGATGACGGTAAGATCTTCATAAGGACCTCAATAAGCAACTCAAACAGGCTATTTGTGATTCACATCAGGCAGTTGTCCCCTGGTCCCTACGGTAACGCAACGCCAACGGTTCTTTTTTGTTCCAGGTGATCTAAGAAGAAATCAACTTCCACAGTGTAAGCAGCCACAAAGTAATGACAACACACACTTCCATAAGCACAAGAAACTTTCTTAATCATTGTCCACCTTCATCTTCTTGTCACTATTAATACTATTTCACATTTAGGTTCTCTAGCTTCTTTTAACTCTGCGACCATAATTAGTGGCTCGAGCCGGAAAATCTCTGCTGATAGTCTCTTCAAACCATGCTACTGACTTAATATGACTGGAACAGGCTGGATTCAGGAGAAACAAGTCATGTATTGATCAAATCGCCACACTACGGATCATCATTGAACAGAGCTTGGAATGGTAGTCACCTCTCTATCTCAACTTCATCGACTTTGAAAAGGCCTTCGACAGCGTCGATCGAGAGGTGATTTGGCAACTACTTCGCTACTACGGGGTCCCGCCGACAATTATACATCTCATCCAACAGTTGTACGACAATGCTGCATGCCAAGTAATCCACAACGGGAAACTTACGGAATCCTTCGAAGTAAAGACGGGAGTAAGACAAGGCTGCCTACTATCGCCAATGATTTTCCTGATTGCAGTAGATTGGATAATGCGACAAACAGCAGGCAATGAGGAAACAGGCATAAAATGGACTCACACAAAAAACTTGGAGGATCTGGACTTCGCCGATGATATATGTCTGATTTCCAACAAACTGGAAGATATGCAAGCGAAAAGCAACAAGTTGGCAGAAGAAGCATCAAAGATAGGACTTCAGGTGAACATAGAGAAAACAGAGGTGATGAAGATTCCTGGGCAACACCACCAACAGCAACAACAACAACAGACAACAATCAGCATAAATGGGAGAAACCTGAAAGAAACAACCTCCTTTACCTACCCACCTAGGAAGCATCGTTTCAACTACAGGCGGAACTGACGAGGATATCAAAGCAAGGATCGGGAAAGCAAGACAAGCTTTCATTTCTCTCAAGTCTGTGTGAAGAGGTCAACAGCACTCAGCATCAAAAATAAGATCCGGATTTTCAACTCCAATGTGAAGTCAGTGCTACTATACGGATCAGAGACTTGGCGGCGTCATAAAGAGCACCTCAAACAAACTACAGACCTTCATCAACAGCTGTCTTCGCTCAATACTTCGCTCAAGATCAGATGGCCAGAAAGCATCAGCAATAGGGATCTCTGGGAGCGAACCAACCAGGAACCGATTGTGCAACAAATAAGCGGGAAGAAATGGAGATGGATTGGCCATACTCTGAGGAAACCATCAAGTGACATCACTAGACAAGCCATGCTCGAGTGGAACCCGAAAGGGAAGCGGCGAGTTGGTCGTCCAAGGGTGACTTGGAGGAGGTCATGTGAAGATGAGATGAAAGCATGTGGGCAGACCTGGAGCCAGGTGAAAACGTTGGCGGAGAACCGAACGCAATGGAGACGTGTGGCTGAAGCCCTATGTTCCTCTAGGAATTAAAGGAAATAATAATAATGATATACGACTAAATACTGGAGCATTCAAAGTCAACTCGAATCGGAAAACAGGCTTCACTAGTCAGAACTAGGGCATCTCAGCCTATGGATGTATGTTGTGTTTCAGAGGCACGCAAACACAAGACCCAAGTGTATTTATACACTTAACCTCATCCTACCAATACAATAAATGAGAAATTTACTTTACGGATATCGGAAGATTTTTCGGCTAACACGCATAATATTGTTGATGTCACAAAAACATTCAGCTCATTAGCTAAAGAATTCCTACTTGACTGGATTTCGGTGTGTGCATATGGATGTGTGCTGTTTGGCTGAATGAATTCTCTACAAGGAGGAGGAGGAGAGATTGTGATACATGGTGATGTCATTCCATGATCTTCGCCAACAAAGCAAGTGACTTCAGCTCAGATGAAGTAAAGGATGATTTCTATCAAAAGTTGTCTAGGGTTCTGCTAAAATCAAAACGCTGAAGTTTTAACATTTTAGCAGATGATGTCAGTGTCCAAGTAGGGAAATTGTGTGTCAATCAGATAAGTATATATTTGTGGCACCTGTGGAGTCAATTTTCGTTTAGTTTCATCATAGATGTGTATTAGCGGATTTGGCCGTAACCAAGTTTGGTGAATTAGGGATTGACTTGTTGCCAAGTTAAAGTCTTGTTGATTTCGGGTATGCTTATGATACTGTCCTTCTAGGAAACAACGCTGGCTCCTGAACAAATTGAACAGGAATCTTAGTATGTTTGGCATGCGATCCGTCTCTGTCAAAATGTAAGGCGATGCCGCAGAACAGACTCCTACATCAAAGATGGTGAATGAAATGGTTAAAATTGTTTACCACTTCACTCACTCGGGAATTCACATTTCAATAACAGCGGATTGATCGCTAACAAAATCTCAGCATAGATTCAGAAGGCTAGTTAGGCACTTTCTGAATTACACTATCTCTCAGAACCTGTGTACCGCATACCATTTCACTTTGTCCTCCTTCATGCATGTGACACTTGGCTGAAAAAAAAAACAAGAGACTAGCTGTATTTAACCATAGAAGTTTGCGTTTTATCTCCTGTGTTTTAAGTGGCAAAACATACTGGGTAATACTGAAGTTTACGACTGAGCTCATTAGCGAGCGAAACGCTAGTTCGGTGGTTAGATCACCTCTATGTGGCTGGCTAGAAAGCGGTACTGGTAGACAACTACTTTTCTCGATCAATAAGTAGGATACAGTTTTGTGCAAGTTAAATATGCTTGCCTTCTTGACTACCATTTGTGCTAACCAAGGGACGTGTGTACTGCTCAGCAGTTCACTCCGTCCTTCTCTATGGCTCTGAAACATGGCCAATATGAGCTGAAGACATGAAAAGGTTGTCTGTTTTTGATCATAGATGTCTACGATCTCTTTCTCACGTTAGGTGGTATAATAAGGTAAGTAATGTTGACGTTAGGCGTAGAGTGTTGGGCAAAGAGGGAAAATCAATCGAAGAGGCTATAAAGTTACATAGATTGAGATGGCTAGGTCACGTGCTGCGCATGCCTAACCATCGCCTCCCCCGACCGGCATTACTAGCTGATATAGGTGCAGGTTGGAAAAGAGTAAGTGGTGGCCAAACAAAAACATGGCATCAATCCATGAAATCCTTGACAGTTAAACTGAGTCAGGTAGGGAGATGCAGACTTCCGGGTTGGGGCCCTCGGGACTCTAAGAATCAATGGCTGGAGACAATAGGTGACATGGCTCAAAATCGTTGTCAATGGCTTACGCAGATGTATTCAGTCTCTGTAATCTTTCATATTCCTTTCTACCGTTACTCATTCTGTTTCACTCTTATACTTGTCAAAACTCTATTGATTCTCTTCACTCATCTTCTTGTCTACCTTTGTGTGCTATTTGGAACGTGGCAACTCGAACTGCTGCACTTCGGTGCCAAGTTCTATGTTGAATCCAGACATACACACCATTTGTGCTATCAAGCAGCTCACATACAGTGTGTGTAATCTGAATAGCTTTGACTTGCAAAGAAAACCTCTTCGGACTGTGTAATTAGATTTGTTTTCAAGAATTAATTCGTAGGGATCATTTTGGTTCAGGTTAGACGACGGATTGACATCGGTTAGAGAACCAATGAAAACCAGCTGGGGGAGTACTGGACAGCTGTTTCATCCTAGTTTGGAAATCATCGGCAGTACACACCCACTGCGTTCGAACCCAGGACCTTCTGGTTACAAGGCAAGCTCGTAAACCAATCAGCCGATGGGACCCGATTCAATGACCGGCCCATGAATTCTAACTTCTACGAATTCGTAATGATTTAGCGTGACCATCAACCAATGTCATCGGTGGGAACTCCATCCTCACTCCCGCCGACTGGATGGACCCCACTGGTCACGACTTCTCACTAGAACTCCGGGTAACTTCGTCCTGTTACTAGCCAGTCAATAGCGAGCGTCAGATAAATTTTCAAGAATTAGTTTTACTGAACTGTTATTACTCCATATCTCTCTGTTCTAATGAATTAAGTAAGAGTAAATCAATAAATCAATAACCAATAATCACATGATATTTTCTGCTATTTTTTTTACCAAATAGTAATAATTATTCTCTCTGATTGTGTTATAACGATAGTTTGCAAAAGGCACAAAGTTGACAGTATTTCAAATAACACAAAATGTCAAAAAATACAAATTTGATTATTTCCCCCGCCTTAAAAATATGGAACAGATCATCATCGAGGCAAAACAGTTTTGTACATGTTAATCAATTCAGGTCAGATTACACACTACTAGTCGACATCATTTAGAGAATTTCAAGTAGTGAACCACCATTTTATCCACATTTTTCTTCTGACTACTAGTAACCAGAACATACTCATGACTCTATCACAGGAATGATGAACCAGATATACCTGTGTTACCAGTAAGCCAATATGACAGAATCCAACAGAGTCCATGAGTTTCTACCTTCTACCAGTTGAATAATTTAATCATCAAACAGATACAAGTAGTAAATAAAGTAATTAAAGAAATTTGTGAATTATCAAAACTTGTAAGCAAGACAGAAATCAAAAAAATATTCATGTAGACAAATTTGGTGCCAATCATTGATGTCAATCATTTAACATCAATGTGAGTAGGTAGATTCATCAAAATTACCAAATTCAGATATTTAATTAAATATGTCCCAAATTGGTTTCATGTAAACATTGTGAATGCATGTGTGTTGTAGTAAGAGGGCTGTCTTGGAATATTATAAACAGTAATAGTAATAATAATCATAAAGACTTAATAATTATGTTGACTAAAGCAAAAAACATTCACATTTTTCTATTTACAAAATCACTGAACAATGCAAACTGATAAATTATCAATAAAAGCCATCTAGACAAAATGGAGGAAAAGAACAATTCAAAATAGGCGGGAAAACAAACCATCATATGATTCAAACAAACAAAAAAAAATGATGATGATAATGATCATAATAATAGTGGATAATCTTTTTTTTTTAAAAAAGGTGAAAAATAGAAACAAAACCAAAGAAAGAAGTGTTGTGATTATTATTATTATTATCTATTCTAAATCTGGTGCACCATAGCCAAGTCTAGCCAGAGTGATATTTAATCTATGTCGTTGTATTGTACGAAATTGTTGCTCTCTCATTTCACTTTTCTTTGAAATTGCCTCATTTGTGTCATTTGTTTTGTTCAGTGTTGAAGTTGAATCATTGACATTATCACTGGTATTAGAGACAGATTTTCTATTCCTTCCAAGATATGGACTACTTGCTAGACCACGTTTAATAATACTTAAATATTGAAATAAATTTACAACTGACACTATTCTATCTCTTGCTTGTGAAGATATTTTACAGTCCAATTCATCGGAATCAGATGTCTGTAGAAAGAGAAATAAAAGCAAAAAGAAATTGATAATTATTAGGGTGGTTGGTGACGACTGATAGGAATCTCTGCCATGATAGTAAGTTTGCTATCTTGGCGGTCACATTTCATTAAGGCATCATTAAGGAATACACAAATTGTAGGATTTGTGGGGACTTTAGATTAATTACAATCGTCTTGATTTCTGTGACTCTTCAGCACTGCACACCTACAACCTTGCAAGGAATTGAACCAGAGACCTTCATGTTGTCGGACCAAGCTCGTTGACCATTCATATTAGTGGTTAATGGGATGCATTTCCTGAAGCTGTAGTGGGAAGGTGTGACAGGTATGATTCACCATGTCAAAGTAAAGTGGTTGCTGTGGTGGGCAGAGCGCTATACCATGAGTTGACAAAGTTATAATTCAGGAGCTACTGAATGGTCAACGAGTGTGACCGCGTAATCTGAAAGTTCCAGATTTCGTCCATAACGAGGCAATCGGTGGGCACTTATGAAGAAGAGTCCCAGAATAGGACGAAACAGCCGTCCAGTGTTGTTCCTTGGTTGACAATAATCTCTGTAACTTTTGTAGTAAATCTGACAATTGTGACTAAACAAATAACACCGGTTACTCCTCAGTCTCCAATCAGTCTGACTTACCAGAAGACTAGAGGTTTTCTGGAAACAGCCCCGTCAAGATCCACCTTAACTTATATGTTCAGAAGAAGTTCGTTCAAATGTTTTGCATAAATTCCCATAATTCTATCTGATATTCATCTAAGTATTACATTTTTTATGCTCATTGTCACTTACACACGTGTTTTTGAACTGTAAAAATGTAAAATATGAAGAAAAACCAGATACCTACACATCTTTGCTAATAGCATTAGTTGAGATCCTTAAATAATCTGGTGACTAAATGATTCAGCATTGCATCATGCATAAATTATGCGATATGTGTCGATTGGTAAAGTTATGGCATAGATTATTTAGTATACCTCCTGATATAAATGTATACTTGTTTATATACCTTTGATACACTAATGAAAACAAGTTAGTACTAGGCGGGACACAAGCAAATGAAGGATAACGGAAGATGATGACGAGACAAACTAGATTCCATACCCACTTTCACTTTAGAATCTCATTTGCTAAGCGTATGCTTATTGTGTACCAGACTGTATTGACCTCATATTGTTGAACGAAGGCTGATTATAATAATCAAAAAAGAAGTGTACAGAGAGGGAATCGAACAACAGAACTACTACTGATGGATAGTTAAATGATGATGAAGCCAAGGTGTCGAATTTCCACAATATATATAACAGATTTTCAGTAGGCTTTCAAATAAAAATGAAACATTTTACAAACTGGATCAATTCCTAGTAGATCACTGAGCTCTTAGTCAACAGATTTTGATTAACTTCACACACACTCACACACTCATTGATTAACTGATTGATTGATTGATTACCATTTGGTGATCAAATCAATATGCACAATCTTGTAATAAAATAAGGTCACTTGTGACCCAGATAAATCGGTGTTAAATTTAGTCACTTTGCAATTAAGTGGTACGGATTTAAGCGAATAATAAGTTTCCTCAAGATTAAATATTCATCACGTTTATAAAGCAGGTCAAGTCTTTCTTTTAGTTTATACTATTGAAACCACTCAAGTCAATCATTACTGCTTACTAGCACTAGCTGGGTCGGAGTAACTGGATGGCTTTTCTGCTCGCTTGTGACCAAGCTCTATGACGATGTATCGGGTATGGTGGCTCAGCTCAGAGAGCCAAGTGAGCTCAATTCATCAGAGGTTTCGTTACCTACATGTGTGAACTTGTAATGCACAAATACAAATCCTCCTCAAATGTCAGTCGACAGGAATTTGTCTGTTTGTAGGCTTGATCATTGAGTGAAATCAGTTAGGGGACCATTGGAAAACCAAGGAGTACTGCATAGCTACTTCATCCTTCTTTGTGACAACCCGGGAGTGTAATCACACCGAAGACCTTCCGGTTATAAGAAGAACATACAGGTGATTGAACCACTGGAGCCTGAAGTGATGGCCCATGAATCCTAACTTCCCCGAATTCGCCATATAAATACCGACACCACCAGTCAATATCACAGATGGTTAACTGTTCCCTCACCTCCTTACTTGATGGACTCCACTGGTCATGACTTCTCACTAGAACTCCAGGTAACTTCCTGTGTAGGCCGGCCATGTCACTAGTGAGAATTAGATTAATATTCAAGTAGTCGCTAGTGGTCGCGCCATATAGTGATTTGACAGAAGTTGGAATTTATGGACTACTGGATCAAGTCCCAGTAGCGTAACCAGAAGGTCCAGAGTTCGAACCTCAGTAGGTGCCTACTGAAGAAGAGCCCCAAACTGGTGTGATGAAACAGCTGTCCAGTACTCACAGTTGGTTTTCCAATGGTTCCATAACTGGTGCAGCTCATAATAAAATCATGAAATTAATATTTAAGTGGTGATTTGCAGGGATTTGATTGGTTACAGGTTTCATCACAAGGTAATATCAGTTAGAGGACCACTGGAAGATTCACAAAACTAGGACAAAACGGCTCTCCAAGACTCCTTGGTATTTTAATAGTCCTCCAACTGACGTTACCTCTAGATCAAACCTGTAACAAATTGTAATTCGACATTTACAAAATATAAAGTTCGACGTGAGAATTCAAAACTGCATAAGTACCGTGCTGATGTTACCTCCAACTGCATTTATAAATTTACGTGCACCTGAGGCAGCAACTACATTCGAAGGACACAAAGAAGGCCTTCTATCCAGTTTTCAGAGCATATTCCGAGAAATTTATGCTTAAAATGAAAGCAGATGTTTACAGAGTGCAATTACCAGACACCCACCATGTGGATACGGTTCATTTTGTCGACATTTCCAAATCCTTCAAAATATTAAACATACAAAGGACGCCGAATCTACTACGATTTACTGCTGAAGCAATTCCAATCAAACGTCTCAGACCAAACTTATATGTACACAGAAAGAGAGAGAGAGTAGTCAATCTCTCACTCCCTTGGTAACCGTACTACTTTCATCACACTGATTAGTCATTCACACTAGTGAGCTCATCTCACTAAGCAAGTTCTCAAATTGATGAACTTTAACCTTCTTCAATTACTATGTTCACGTACAAACTAACACTGTCTATTAGATTTCTCTGTCTCCTCTCACCCCGCTCATCTTTCGAAGTTTGACGTTGACTCAAACTAAAAATTGTAATACTTATATTCCGGATGCGTTCATCTTTTAATGTTCTCACTATTACCGTTCAAACATTGAAGTATGAAATGTAGTTATTTATAACCATTGTAATTTCAGGTAGTAGTTTGCAGTCAGCTGATGAGAGAGAACCTGTGAAATAGAATGATGACATCATTTTATACTGCAAATCTGGTCTCTCTTTCTCTATCGAAATTTATCAACGGAACCAAATATTTGAAATAATCAAAACAGCAAACGATATATCATGAGTAATTGGGATCCACTCACTTTCTCATTCTTAACACTTAATACCATGTAGGTGTGGCTCATTCGTTTATGCATTCGACTTTAGGCTGTTGAGTCCCGGATATGGATGTGGCTCCGTAGACTTCAGCCACGGTGATTGGGTGATATTATCAGCTGCCCTCCCACCCCCCCCCACACACTGGCTGGTGTAGCTTACAGCTTCACATACTCAAAATCTGTTTAGGTTTCAATTGACTCTTAAGTAAACAAAAGTAAATCTGCAGATCTTCCGATGACTAAATTAAGAAGGTTAATGCATGAAAATCTGATAAGATTAGTAATATCTCTACAGCCTTGTGTAACTCATCTTTTTCAGCACATACAAAATAAAAGAAAATAGCTAACAAACTCTAATTTTACATTCCACCTAACTATCACTAGCTGTAATCTATTTTTGTTAACTGTTTTTTTTTCCAAGTTATTTCTTCTAAATTATATCTGTCTATCTGTCTACTGATGAAAACAAATAGGAGTAATAATTTCACATGAATGGTGGTATTTATTGACTTTTTGTTGTTTTCTGCTGTGAGTATCATATTACATACAATTCGACAAATATAGAAACACACGCACACGCACATGCACACACACATACACACGCCTAAGTGTTTGATCAGGAGAGCATTATGTATATATATTTGCCGAAAGAATGAGTTATGGAACACCTTTGTTCCTCCACAAACACACACGCACACACACATACACACCCTTGTCTCCTGAACAACTTACTACACATTATCGCCATCAACATCATTAGTCAATAAATCCGAGATCTATCTAATCCTCATCCTGGATTCCGTCCACTGCTATCTCATCGCATTCTCAGTTGTATAATTTCATGGATATTTTCTTTATCCCATTGCTTTCCATGTGGAACATAGGGCTTCAAACTTGAGCTTAGATGTTTCAGTAGCAGTAGTGTTATTCCTCTTTTTACTGGTGGGATTTGCTAGCCTCATCCACTGAATGTATTACCGACTAGGCGAGATTTAGATGTTCGTCGACCGGGAATCAAACCTTAGACAGTGTGTGCACACAGTTGGCGAGTTTCGGTCAGGTTAAACTTTAAGCACCACTAACTGCCAGTGGAGTGCGACCACACGAATGACCTTGAGACGCTCTCTGAGCAAGTTAATGAAATCTGACAAAAAATGTTGTCCCCATCAATAAAATATGCTAATCGAAGTGTTATGCTCTTAAATGGGATATCTGGCAAGTTTCAGCTTAGGTTAAGTTACTCTTTAAGCCAAGGACAAGTTAAAGTTAAGTTGACCTAACAAAGACGACAGTAGGGTTGGTTCGAGTTAGATTCCAGTTAGTTTAGGGATATTTTCACGTTATGCTTAGGATCAGGAAAGATTAGGGTTATTGTCAGGTCCAGAAGACTTAAACAATTACATGCATAGAATGTGGTTAAATTTCTCTGTTGATATAAGAATAGGACTTGTGAACTGTGAT